AGAATGTGAGTAAGAACAGGCAAAGAATAGAAAGACACTGAAGGATTCAGAAACACTGACAAGGGAGAAAAATTTAGATTCCATTGTTATTTTCATATTAATTTGTGTTTAACTAATGTCAACATTCATCAGAGTTGCACTAAATGAGGTTCAAGAAAGTTCCCAGTACTTTCTTTTTCTTCTTTCCGTCATCCTAGTTGTTCCTTCTTGCATGTTTGTTATCTGGTAATCTGAGCAATTTATGCGACGACAACAATTTGCAGTGTAATATCCATTGGTGAACTCCTACAATTTATGCGACGACAACAATTTGCAGTGCAATATCCATTGGTGAATTCCTACAATCCTGACACTATGTATTGTCACTAATGTTCCTTTAAATTATTATTTTCAGGGCTGGGGATTTAGCTCAGTGGCACAGCGCCTGCCTGGCAAGCACGAGGTCATGAGTTCAATTCCTGGTACCGGAAAAAAAGCCAAAACAAAAACAAAACAAACAAACAAACAAATAATAAATTATTATTTTCTTATTCCCTTTAATGATTTGATCAATCTTCTATTCTTACATGTGGTAATCTGAGCAACTTCTTTGAAGATAACAATATGTAATATAACAACCATTGTTAATTTCTGTCATTTGGTTTGAAACCCTGTATTTTTTTTTTTGTATTATTTTTAATGTCCTTGCTTTGTGCTGTCTGTTTTTTGCTGTTGTTCTTTTTTTTTTTTGCTACTATTTTCTTTAAGAAAAAAAAAAAAAGAATAATTTCCAAAGTGTTCCCCGCCCCTGACCTTGTCTGATGTCATATCCTCCAGCTCTGTGATCATGCCTTCCCAGAACAGTGTGGAGCCTTGCTGTCAAGGACAAAATCTGGGAATAAAGCCCCTTTGCAGGAGCTGAGAAGTAAATTTCCCGTCTCTTACCATCTCACCAGTTATTTCTAGTTGGAATAACAGCCGGTTCTGACAGTTAATGCCATTTTCTCCCACAGCGCTAACTTGTACTTACCATGGCAGCTGTCTCTGCCCGACTCTCGTGCTTTAGCTGGTTCCCACAGCCATGACTGTGACCGTCAAAACCCAGTTACTCTACGTGTTTCCACCCTCATGTCACAGAGAACACAGGATTTCTGCAAATTCGGCCTTCAGGTTCAAGACAAAGTCACTCTCCTAAGTCAGAGTACCAGAAAGTACCTTCAAGACCCTCTTTCTCTACCTGAGCTCTGATAAGCATCATTTGCATGGTCTTTGGCCTTGGTAAGTTTCTCTAAACTTCCTTTACGGTTTCTAATTTTGATTATTTTCTTTTCTCTTTTCCTTCTGTAGTCATTTTTTCATACTTTTTAGGCCATTCAACTTCCAGAGATCAATTATCTCTACTTTTCTTTATTTTCTGTCACATTTTTTGGGGGGGTATGATAGGCAGGCATTAAAAATCAGTATTTACTTAAATATACACAGAACAGTTCTTGTCTAAGTAAAAAAGAAATACCGCTGAAGCGATGAGAGATTGATCACACCCTAGAATGGGACTCAGAGAGCTGAATCATGATTTTCACTCTGTCACTTCCAATTGTGTGACCTTGGGCAAACCAATTTCACAGAACCCTTAACTCTTTATTTGTAAAATGACCTTAATTTACCCATGCTGTTCCAATGTTCTATAATTTTAAAACCCTATAATGCAAAGTTCATCTGATGAAGCCAGCCGTATCTTCTTCAGCTACAACCAAACCCATGCTGAAGCAAATAAAAGGCCTTTTTTTTTTTTATTAAACCACATTTTATCCCTTAGCTTAGGCACTTATACAGGCCATGATACATGTCTACTTCCGGATCTGTGTATATAGGATAACTGCTTCTACAAAGATAAATAAGATGATGAATTTCTGTGGTATACAATATCTAATTTATGTACCTGTTGAGGCTGGGGTTGGCTGATCTGAACTGGAGTTGGCTTGAGTGGTTCTACGCTACTCCACAAGTCTCCCATGTCCTTTTTGGTCCTAGTAGACTAGCTTGAAAATCTCATGTTATGGCAGAGAGCAAGTCAGTAAATCCATACTACAATCCCTCTTCTAGCTTTAGTTTAGTCATGCCTGTTGTGCTCCATTGCTCAAAACAGGTCTCATGGTCAACCCCGAAGTCAAGGTGTCTCTATGATGTGAATGTTAAGAGGCAGAAAGATTGCCTTGAGTTTGAGGCCAGCCTGGGCTACATGATGAGTTCAAGGCTACCCTGAACCATACAGTGAGACCCTGTCTCAAAACCAAACAAACAACAGCAGCAAAAAGATATCATTCTTTCTGAATAACAATGTTACTCAGCACAGTGCTCTGGAAATGAGTAATAGCTGACATGCATCTTCTTTTCAGTGAAGGTGATGGGGAGATGAAGACGAGTAGAAAGCTTAGGGATTAAAGTCCAATGTTGCTGCTTCTCCTGTGGGACATAACTAAAGCCGCGTCAGGGGAGAAGAGCTGCCAGTTTGAGATAGGCTTCATGAACGTATTTGCACAGATGTAAGGGGCAGGTGATCCGCCATTTTGGTCAAGTGAGGGATGGCAAGGTCACAGTACTACCTAAGAGGCCTCCACGTTTTGGGTTTACGAAAAATTCCTCTGAACCCCTCACTGAGCCATCCCTTCATCCTTCCTCACGCGAATCAAGGAGCACATAAACTTGCAAATGCTGATCTGAACTTACAAGAATCAGGAAAACCAGATAAGGTACTTCTAAGCAAAGCTAACATAAAAACACTATAAGATTGATTGGAAAATTGCATGGAGTTATGTTGTACTACAAAACTATTTCTCCCTTTAGTGAAACAATCTATGTATTTCCAACTCTGTCATTGTTTACTGTGATACCTCTACTTATACTCATGTCTCCTAATGAAATGACAAAATATAACCACCACTCTTACTGTTGGTTAAATGGTATTAAATAAGGACAGCTACATTCATGAAGCAACAGTTATGTATATGAAATAAATGTTTTTCACTTGAAAACTAATGAGGCAACAAGGACAATCAGTGAAGACAAATATCAGTTTATTTTTCCATTTATTGAGCTGTATGGTTTGTCTTTTGCTATGCAACAAGGTATACCAAACTTGGTGGTGCTAAATAGTAAGTGTTTATTCTCTTATAGTATCTTCCTATTCAAAATTCAGAGAAACCTCAAGGGATGGATCTGGCTCCCTTTAAGTCATGGCCAAAATCTCAGCTGAGGTTGCAGGTATCTGAAGATGTGACTGCAGGGTCTGCTTCCAAGATGTTAGTTACACAGCTGGCAAACTGAGATTTGTTGTTAGACACAGTTATTGACAACTGGAGCTGAATAAGCCTGCTTGCCTATCAGTATGCATTAAAATGGACTTCCTCCAGAGCCAGTGATCTAGGACAGATTATGCTGGCTACTACAGGATATTTTATGATATAGCCTTTGAAGTCACACTCTGACCATTTTGGCAGTCTTATTGCCCGTACCAGAGTGAGGGCAGGCAATCGGTCTCAGGATTTTGCAAGTGCATGACTCTGAGTGTGAATACCTGCTTCAACCTCACACCCATCCTAAGTGGCTTATTTACCTCACTTGAATCCTATGCTGGGTTTATAGATCAGTCATATTAGTATTTCAAGGGGTTGTAAAGGGTATGAATAACAGGAAGCAAGAACCAATGGAAGTTATCTCAACACGCTAATAGCTAAGTATCTAAACAAGTTTTGAATCATTGAGTAGAGACTTCTATAAGTTTAGCAGTTCTCAACCTTGGCTAAACGTATGAATTATCTGAGAGTGCTGATGTCAGCACTTCACCTCATAGAGACACTGACATTTTTTTATAGGGAGTTAACCATCCATGGCGCTAAAAAAAGACAAATTTGAAAATATTTTTCACCTGTGTTCAGGGATAAGCATTCTGTAAATGAACAGTAAGTTTCCTTTTGGGACTGAAGTCCACATAGAGTCTGCCTGTCTTTGTGTCTGTCAACAGCATCTGTTCTCTCTGCAGCAAGGATCATGGAACGGTTTAGAGGGGTCATTGGGGATCAGTAATTTATGCATTCGCAAATTATGGCTGAACCGTGCAGGTCTGGCTAACCAGATTTCCTTTCTATCACCTATCCATTCTGTGTCAACTGTTTTATAAAAGAATGATAGGATCAGGCTTATTTTATAAGTGCTAATCTAATTTAAAACTCTTTACCTATTTCAAGACAGATCAAAATGGGCAGGTTGGATGGACAGAAAAGTCCCCAGTTCAAAAGTAAACTAATAGGGATTAGATAAATTCTAGATTGCGTTAGGTTACCAGTTTTTTCACAATAGTATGGCAGCAGTTTGATGCACCCCCCTACACACACAGAGGTGAAGCTGAGAATGAAACCACTGTCAGTTCATATAATTTTGGAGTCTAATGAGGCCTTATATCTAGCAGGCTGCGTGGTTATTGGGTAGTTATCTCTCTGACCCCCCTCATCCCAGTCCTGTGCCTGGATGCCTGAGCAGCGTGAAAGAGGACTGGATATGTGGTCGTTGGCCAGAGCGCTGTTTTTCTTCAGTGAAAATAAACAACAGAAGTTCAGGGTGATGATTGGCTCCACCTCATTACTTGGAACTCTTACTAGAACTTCCATATTTTCTTCTTCTTTTAATTATCTTAGGGAATGCAACAAAAGCGGAGATTACTATGATTCTGGCAAATAGTTTAGGGTGTTGTAATATATCCACATGAAAATGATCTGGTATGAGCATACGTTTGAAATCACTGTTTTCCCCTCAATCAGAATTAAAATGAAAAATGGAAATACTGCGATTATTTTTTAATGAGAGCAACTTATAGTTTGCCTCTTACATAAGCAGGAAAATTCCTACATTGAGAAAGAGCATTGCAGGGCTGGGGGTTTAGCTCAGTGGCACAGGGCCTGCTTGGCAAGCGCAAGGTCATGAGTTCAATTCCTGGTACCGGGAAAAAAAAAAAAAAAAAAGAGAGAAAGCATTGCTATATCCTTTTACTCTTATTTAAATTTCAGGCATATACACATGAAAAACAGCGTTGCTTGGAGAACAAGTCATTCATTTCTGATATCAATCTCAGCTGCAGCACAGGCTTGGCTGGAGGGTGGTTATATTACCGAGCACAATGTCTACCTTTCCACTAGGATTCCAGCAGAGTTCTGCTCTATGGCGAAATCTCCAAGGACTACAGTGTCTCCATCTCGTGACAAGGCAAATCACTTCCCAAGGGCTCTTGAATGCATGTATACATGATGGGAGGTGGCGGTGGCTTGAAAGGTGGGGGTCTTTCCATGCTAGAAATAAAATGATGCTTTCAACACTAAGAATGTGAGATGGCATTTTGTAAAAGTAAAAGACAGATTAATGAAAAAGACACACTTTTTTTCCTCACCAGTATTGCAGTTTGAACCCAAGGCTTTAGCAAAATTACAAGTTGCCCAGGATGAGCTACAACTTGTGACACTCCTGCCTCAGCCTCCCAGAGTGTAGAGATAACAGGCATGGACTACCATACCCAGCAAGATATACCTTCTTAGTTTCCTCAGAATGCTGTGGGCTTCCTTCTGTCCTCGTTAGTCCTACCAGCCATTTGAACACTATAATCGTAGTAATAATTTAATATTTATATAGAATTTTATACTTTGCCAAACAATTTTAGCCTAATATCACTTACTGTGTATCTAAAAATTTGGTGTTATTGTTACCACTCTACAGATAACACTGAGGCTCAGAGGTCCTGGGAAATTTACTCAAGAGGATGAGATCATCAACTGAAGTCTTCTTTGCCAGAACCTATACTCTGCGTGACAACTGCCTTCTAGCTAATAAAGGGAGATTTTCTTTTATGAGTTGGAACAATGCTCCAAAGACAAAAACTCTTAAAAGTCAGAGACTTAAAATTGGAGTATAATCAAAGAGCCCCTTTGCTCATCTACTTCCGGGCTGTACTCAGACATTCATATGTGCTGTGGGATCTGGCAGAGCTGGGAAGTAGAGCTCTCCCGAATCCCTGAGTTGGTTGATATTGGTTGGATAAGCAGAATCCCTTTTGTATCGTGAACATTCTGAAGGTCATCCCGTACAAGGTGCTGTTTTATGTTAGCACAATTCCTTTCTGCCTGAAATGCATTAGTCATCCAGGTTAGTGTAAGCTTTAGCTGTACAAAGGCTCCAGCTATTTTGATAGTAGAAAATAGAAATATATCCTTAAGCAACCTTTATGTTCACGACTCAGTTTCAGGCTACCCTGGCAATCCATAGCCTCTTAGAGTGACATAGAGTGGGGTAAGGGAAGATTGAAATCTGTGTAACATAGACATTTAATTAGAGAACAATTGAAAAACTCAACTGAGATTTTCAGAATTTCATTTGCTCATTTTAATTGAAAGATCACCTCATCTGTAATTACCTGTTTTTTGGATGTTTTCATAGAGGCTTAAAATATGTCAAGAGGCCAATACAATTGTATGAATCTCGTGCTTCTTTCAGAGAAACAATGAATTTCTGAAGTTCATATAGTGACCAAAATGCCATCCTTAGATGCCCTAGAATTTTTATCTATTAGTGTTTTATTCACCACAAAACATTCCCTGCATGTGGTTGTAGTGCCTTCAAGGATGCTTTGTGAGAAACAGAAGAGGACGTTGCCATGGTGAGCGTGGTGTCAGACAGCGGTACCCAGCACCTGGAAGGTCAGCTCTGTGCTTTATGGGGTCTCCTGTAATCATGGCCTAATGCAGACTCATCCAAAATAGCTGGGTCAGAAAGAGAAGCTTAACCTTAATGCCACCTCAGACTGCTCTGTGAAGAACAGTTTTGGAAAATGTTTCAATAAAACACAAACGGGGAAACCCAAGCCACTTTTTTCCTCTTTGGGGAAAAAGGAAAAGGGCAGTAACAGTCCACTGTGATAAAAAGCAGTTGGAAATCTCTTCAAATTAGCTTTCTCACTCAATTTCACACTTGAGCATCTGGCCCCAGCTGAACCTGAGCAGTTCAGAGATGCATGAAAATGGAAAAATAATGAAGATTAAGAGAAAAATCAGTTTTAGTCTTCAGGTGAGGGGAGGCTCGGTTCCCATTTCATGCTCAACGACTTGCTCCATCTGGTGAGTGTTACTGTCTGAGGAAGCCAAGGCAAAGAAGGACACTGAGAAAGGAGCTGTACATTTGTATGGATTGGCTTGGTGCTGGGAAAACACACAGCCTCTGAGCGATGAGCCTTTTGTGCTAATTAAAACACGAGAGGAGCACTGTATGGTAACAATATTTGTGTTGAGGAAATACTGGGTAGTGAAAATGATCAGTTCCTACATATCTCAGCACTGTACTCACATTTCTCTTTGATACTGACACCATTTTCTCAGTCCAAGACCAAACAGTAGCACACAGGAGGAGAGCAGAGCTGCTACAATGACCGGCCATGACATTCCATCTTCGGGCTTATTAACTACAATGTCTGGAAAGGACATAAAGAGAGATGAGCTTTAGGGCCGAACTTGGGTATCCGGAAAAAAGGAATAAATTATTTGTCTAGGGTTGAGTGTATGGCTCAGTGGTAGTACAGTTACTTAATTATGCCCACGGCCCCAGGTTTTATGGCTAGCACCACACAAAGTAAAACCCAAACCAAAGTCTATTTCTCTTGCTTGAAACATGTTTTCTTTCCAACAGGTTTTGGGGGTGTTCGTTGACTCTGATCACAGTTTGAAGGTGTACCTGTGAATTGTTATATAAGAGACAGTATCTTGCCCACAATTTTCTATGACTATATAAGCATGGATGTATATTATGAATAGATATCCCTTTTATTACAAATGGAACATACACTACTCTGGTCCTAACCCCTTTTTTTCTTTTTTTCCTTCTAGGAATTGAACTCATGACATCATGCTTGCCAGACATCTAACCCTTTTCTTAAAAAGACTTTTAGAATCTTTTCCATAGCCTTGAATAGAGATTTATTTCATTTTTTAAGAGATTGGTTAATTTCCTCAGTCCTCTAATGTAGTTTAATTTTTTAATGCACATTTAAAAATTTTATTTTAAAAATAAAAGAATGAAAACATATTAACAAGCAGACATCCATTTACAACATAACACAAGAACAATACAAACAAAACTGAATTTCAGACAAGGTGATGGGAAATTAACAATGGTTGTTGTAGTACATATTGATATATTCAAAGTGGTTACTCAAGAGACACACAGGATTGATCAAATAATTAATCATTAACTGTTCCTTTCAATAAAGTGATAGAAGTCACTAGTACAACTATGTTAGCTATCTTGTATATACACATATACATAATTTTCCCCTTCTTTCTTTTCTCTTTTCCCTCATAGTTTATTTAATTGATCTCATAATATTAGTGGTTAAAGTATTTCAAACTTTTGTTATTTCTGGAAACATTGCAATGAAATTTCCTATAAATTATAGATGTAGTATATGTTTAGATATTTATATTAAGCAGATCATTTAGGTAAAAAGTTTATCTGGCTTTTCTCATTGTTTTAACAAGACGGTAAACTGTTTATAGTTATATTGCTCAATTTTTATGACTGATTTTCATACAGAAAAGTCTCAAAAACATTAGAGGCCAAAGATTCAGATTTACAGTGCTAGTTACTAAGTCTTTCCTGTCTTACACAGTTTGGACCTCAGTCACACATTATCATGTTAGCATGGAACATCAGTGCTGAAGATTTTCCTTTTCATACAACACCTATCCATAGATTTCACCCTACCTCAGCCCTGTCAAAGAAGACACTGAGGGTACGCTGGAAGCCCATATAGTCTATAGCATGTCATCCTGTGGTGCATTTTCTAGATAGTCCACCATGCAAACCACTAGAGTCCTGAGTACAAAAAGAGCAATCATATAGATTGTGAATTCAGGAATTAAGGAAGTTCTGCTCAAACCAGCCAAACTTTACTAAGCTGTACACTGGTAAGATGATGAGATGTAACATTTTGCCTTTAAAGTTTAGAAAAATCAAAGTACAAAGGGTTTTTAATAGGTATTACATCAATACCTACAAATTATACTCCAGATATAGTGGAGACACTGAGGGTACACAGGAAGCTGTCTTAGTGGAGAAGAAGGCACCAGCCTTGCCCCACCTCTAAACTAAACACTTCTTCTGGAATCATTAGTCTTAGAGATATTGATAGCACCTTAATTTGAGGCTCTACTGTCATAATGTGTGCAGGATAATGCTTCAATGATCTGAATTCTATATGACCATTCATATAAAACTCATGTGGATCTCCAGGTGGAGATTTCACTGATCAAGTGAAACACCTGCAGCCACACACAACCTGGAAGTGAGAGTTAGTTATACCAATGAATTTATAGATATGAGCTGCACTGAGATGGTTCCAAGATTACTGAATCCCTCGGTCTCTTACAATATAAAATAAAGGCTTGCCTTTTACACTGACAACATTTTATTAGTTGAATTACAGAAATACCCTTTGTTCGAGCAATGTCTTTCTTGTCTACTATATTTTCACAGACTTGAAATGATTCTTGCTATTTTTTTTTTCAGTGCTGGGAATTGAATCTAAGGCCTCATGCATGCTAGTCAAGTATTCTACCATAAACTACCTTCTCAGTCCTTTTGCTAACTTTCACCTGGCTAATTCTTTTTTATTTTATAGATTTAATTTAAATATATCCTGTTTCAGTTAAAATGAGGTCTTTTTTTAGATTGTGACATCCTATCATAGCAACGGTGGCAAATTAATTGTATGATTATTTATTTACTATATCTTATCTCCAGTAGCTTATAATCTTCAAGAGTCCAGTGTCATTACTATATACCCAATAACTGAGAAAAATATTCAACAAATATTTGCTGAGTAGTCAAGACATAAAATCCAAAGTGACATGGTAAATGACTCACCAGTGGCATGGAGGGTCTGATTTGCAGTCAGTCTATTAGCAGTTGTGAGGATTTTTGAAAAGCCTCCCATTGTGCCGGTGAAGGCATCATCTAGGGATACAAAAGGGCATATATTAATTGATGCTAAGAGCCATCTCAACCTGACCAAGTGGTATGAAATCATGATTGAGTTTCATATACTACTGAAAAAGCTCAATTTCAATGGCCTGGCTGTCCCTAGAATATTATGTGTGAAGATCACGAAGGACCAAATTACAGCAAGGCTAGGATCATGGGATTTGTCTAATAGCTACCAAATGAGTGAAACTTCCTTTAGTCTCAAGAAAAGAAGAAAAGCCAAATGTTTCCAAATAATAAAAAATATCTGCTAAAAGTCTACATGAGAGATTTAAGTAGTGTGGCTAAATGCCGTAAGTGAAGTCATGGAAAGGGGAAGCTCTATCTATGTTCTTTCAGGGTAACAAGGATTCAGCTGATCACAATGCTGATTTCATCTATCCCAACGAGTTTATAAGGTCATAAAAATTCCTTACAAATCCATGTTGAATAATCATTCCATTGCTAATGGAAAATTAAAAATTGAAAAACATTTTCATGGACAGAGTTATTTGCAGATTTCACTTTGAAATAAAAGAGAAAAGTCCAAGGCTTTGGTTTTTCTACTTTCTTTGACTGGGAGGAATTTTGGTTCTGTTTAGTGCCATTGTCATCATCAAGATGCACTTGTAAGTACCTGTCTGGTGTGGCTCTTTGTCAGTTCTTGTTTTTTCACCCATTCCCAAATAAAGTGGACCACAACTTTCTGTGTGCCTAAATCTTTCCGGTGCCCTCACCGTGAGGAGTTGAGCCTGCACCCAGGGTAGACGAGCTGTATGTTTCACTGATTATCCATGAAACTGCTAACGGTACAATATAATGGAAGAGTCAGTCATCTATATGACTAGTCACCTATTTTCTCTTCTTGACCATTCTAATTGGATCTAATAATTATGTGGGGAAGTGCATTAATAAGTACTTAAAGCAATAGCACTGAGCTGTCCTCCAGCATATGTTAGCACACCCCAGAAAAGTGGGATACTTGTGGTTCAGCTGTCTCTAACTGGGAAAGTTTTTTTAAAACATTTTTGGTGGTACTGGGCATCGAACTGAGGACTTTGCACTTTCCAGGCAGGTGCTTGTGCTGCTGAGCTATATCCCTTGCCCCGTACCTGGGAAAGTTTTGATCATATTCATTGCTATGGTTTGAAGGTTCCACCTTCAAAACTCAGGTGTTGCCAACATCACAGTGTTAAGAGGTGGATCATTTAGGGGTGATTAAAACACGGGAGCTCCTCTTCTCACGAATGAGATTAAGGTCCAGATAGAAGAGGCAGAGCTCATCCTTGCCTGTCTGTCTTCTACGATGTATGGACACAGTGGGGTTTTAACCAGATCCTGACATCTAGCCTTCTAGAACTATGAAAAAATAAATTTCTTTTCTTTATAGATTACTTGATCTGTGGTATTTTGTTTTATCTGCACCAATGGACTAAAATGGTCATGTAGAAATAGGAAAAAGGATCAGAAAGCCAACACTGGCCACAGAGAATTTATTCTCACTGTTCCTATCCCCACCCATAAAGGACCAGAAGGAATGCGAGAGAATGAAGGTACGGGTGTGTTAGGGTGGACTTTAGTCAGGAAAAGGTGCCTCTGTGACTTTAAGACCTCTGTGGAATATGCATGAGGGAATGAAATATTTTGTATTTGCAGTCTGGCTCTCTGTGGAAGCATCTGTATCAGTAGAGAGCCGTAGACTCCTTGGTGACAGGTCTTACAAGCTCTTCAGTGAGCACCTTTGAGGCTTTCAGAAGCAAATACTTCTCTTGAGTGGATGACAGTGAACTTGGGCAGCACATAGAGTTGAATTGTTTGTCTATTGCTTGCTCTATCCTGGAAAGAAAGATCCATGTCTCTGCACACATCTGCATTTGATAACAAGTCTCCAGTGTCATGTAAAGGGAAAACTCACATATTTCAACTGGTAGCATATATGAGGTTCTCAGTTAAGTGGTTCCTTGTGTATCAAGACCAAGACAAATGGACAAAACCAAAATGAACATTTAAAAAACCTTTAGCCCACCCTGTACTCTTCTTTTCTACCTAGATGTCAACAGCAGCTGCACCTGTTGACAAAGGTGTGACCAGGCCTTTCCAAAGAGGTGCAAGTTGATGGTTTTAGGGATTTCTCAAAGGACAATCTGTCTTGCATTGACCATATTACCCTTAGGCCATGGAGATGTTCTTTTCTTCACTTTAAGTATCTTACCCTGCACATGTGCTCTTGACTAATTTTTCTTCTAGACAGAGCACCAAGATCTGTAAGTGATGATGAAATAGACACTTTCTAATGCTAACTCTTAATTTGAAATCACTACCAGGAATTTGATTGACAAATAGCACAACTGATTAAAAAACAATTGTCACCATGTCTGAATGAAGTCAAAACAATGAAGAGGGCGGTTGGTTCTGGATAAAATTAAAAGTTTTTTTTGTTCAATATGTTATTTCCAACTTCGTACTTTCAGAGCTTGATGTGTTTTATTTAGTATCTTTTTAAAGTATGTTTTCAAGAAAGGATAAGATAATTTATGCTAAGGTAAGAAAGAGTAAACAAGTACAATTCCTACAAGGGAAATAAGCATTTAAAACAGAAAGATATTTCCATTTTATTATCAGTGAATCATTATAGAACATTTTGTAAAAATTAGTAGCACATTAGTGCTAAAAATTAGTAGCACATGGGCAGCATTAAGTTTTTCAACAAATATAGTGTTTTTTGGCCAATTGATTTTTCTCTGTGCAAAACAATCAGATACACAAAGATTGCAAGTCCTCATGATCAGCACAATCCATCCCAATTGTAAAAACAGGAATGACTCAATCTATGCCAATTATTTGACCATTTCATAAAAATTCTTTTGAGACCTCTACAATCTTCTCCAGCATTGAAGAATTCCTCAGTATAATGCATAATATAATTAAATACAAAACCCACCTTGGAAAAGTAGGAACTTGTTTTTCTACTTTTGGCTTTAAGAGTTGTTTTATAAGTAATAAAAATTTTAGAGGAGATTGTGGTGGTGAGAGGGGTGAAGAAGAAGGAGCTTGCATTTCGTGGATCCAACACGTCGAAGATCCTTAAGTAATGTAAATGAGAAACTTCAAAACCAAAAACTTAAATAAGAGTCTTTCCACAAGATGAATCAACAACTGTAATTGCATCCCATGCTCTGATAAGAGAGGTCTTCATGTAGAAATGTTGTTTATAGAAGCCTCTGTAAGGTAAAAGTGGCTCAGCTGGGGGTAGTAGCATACACTTATTATCCCAGCATTCTGTGAGGCTGAAGCAAGAGCCTCACAAGTTTGAGCCCATCTTGGACAAGTTAGTGAGTTGGAGAGACAGCTTCAAAGAAAAAAAATTTAAATAGGGCTTAGGGTTGTAACTCAGTCAAAGGCACTGGATTTAATCTCTAGTACCAGAAAGAAAGGGGTGGGGGATCACTTATTTCTTTCAGTTTTTTTTTTTTTTTTATTTTAAAGAGGAAAAAAAACTAACAAAACAACAACAATGAAGACAAAAACAAAGCAACATGAAAACAACAAAAATGATACATGACTTCAAAACAAAATGATAGGAATTAACAATGGTTGCTACATTACATACTCTTCAGTGAAGTTGCTCCATTCACCAGATATAAGAATATAAGATTGATCTTTCAATAAAACAATACTTCTTTAAGAGCTAATCCATGCCTATGATTTATATATCTAATCCTCAGGATGTATTGGCTAGTCCATTTGGCCTTCTTATGTCTCCTTTGGAAGCTTCCAGCAAAATTACGTTGCTGTTCTCCTTTAGGTGATTGAAATATTCTGTGTTCTTCAAGGTATCATCATGTTTGTTAGATATACGAGTTAATCCTCCTTTAAATCCTTTGAACATCCATTTTCATCCAAATAATGAGTGAACATCACTTTGACATTTGGATGGTAAATATTGCCTTGACTGATAAATCAATATCCCCCCAAATAAGGATACTGGGCTGTTGGCACTTCTCCAGTAAATTGTTATATCCTTTCTTGAGTATAATGTAAGATTCTTAAAAATTTCTGTAAATTTAGTTCTTGGTAAAGGTCATTCATGAGGGAAGGGTACTTCTCATCTATAGTAAAAACAATACCAATTTCAGTATTGGTAAAACAATACCAATACCAGTACTTTTCCTTTAATTGCAATAACTCTTTTGACATTAATCTTTGACCAGTTTATAGTTGTCAGTGACATTATGTCACATTAGAAATCCTTTCCCTTTGTAGGAAAATCTATTTTATGTCATCAAAGTCCTTATTTCTCTGAAGTTGAACAGATCTTTTGATAAAACTACAGATGATTTCTGTTATATACATAGGAATCCGGATGTGAATGGAACTCTTGTTGAGTTCCAGCATCTTTTTCACAAGTACATGGACTTTTGATGAATCAAAAGTTGGTTGTCCAGTCTTTTAAAGTCATCTTTAAGTCCTTGATTTTGTCCTGGAACAATGGCAGAGGTGGCAACAATATCCAGACATGCAGTGCCTAGATCTATGGATTTCCATGACCTTGGGCTTCTGCTTTGCCTTCCTCTTCAAGGAGAATAAGTGCTGAGACAGCACCACCCAGGACGCACACACTGGTACCAGCTACTTTGCCCACTCTTGGCACTGTCACCCAGTCTACGGATGGGGCTCCCACAGTCTTCCCAACCGCAAAAAGATGGTGACACTCAAATCTCTCAACTCTCCTCCTGAGTAAGGAAAGTACAAGGTTTGTGATGAAATCACTGGGCTCAGCTATCAAGAAGCTAGACAGGACCATCCAGGACACACGCAGTGTAAGAGATGGATGCACTGATCAGATTTAAGAGGAAGGGTATGTAAGTTTTGAAAGGATAAGGAATTCATGGTCAAAGAACATAATGAAGTCCCTTCTTGAGGTTAGTAAGGAGAACTCTGAGCGTGTGTGTGTGTGTGGTAAGTGTATTTTGGTGCTTGTGTTGATAGTGAGC